GTTTGTGTTAAGACCAATTCGTGACAAAGGCGGGGAAGACTGCAGTTGTTCCATGGGTCCAGGTGATTCGGCATTACTTCCAGGTGATGTAGAATCCATTTGATTTGGAGGCTTTGCTGCAGCCATGATAAAATTAATCCAGTGCATAAAGGGTTAAAAAGACAACGTTTCTCCACGTGACTTCCGAACACTTCCGGATACTGTCAAAAAACAAAATTTAGAAGCCACACCCATATTAATTATAAATTATTTAATTAAAATTAGTTAACTATTTCTCTGCACCATGAGCATGTTCTTCTTCACAGCTTTGTCTTTCTTCTTCCTCTGTATCTATGGTAGCTGCGATTCTGTTAATAGCACAAAAGATGACCCAATTCCTCCATATACCACCTCCTATTACACTCAGCAGCTGGACAATTTCAATTCAAATGACAAGAGAACTTTTAATCAAAGAATACTAACAGCAAGTGAGAGAAAAATAACCATTATTTATTTATTTATTTTCTTGTAGAGCAATACTGGAAGAATGATGTATTGCTATTTTATCCTGGTAATGAGGCCCCAATAGATGAGTTTTACAACAATACTGGTTTTTTGTTTGAACTTGCAGAGAGATTCCAAGCATTAGTAGTGTTTGCAGAGCACGTAAGTACATGTACATGTATTAATAATAATAGTATAAATACTCAAAATATGTACATGAAAGGAGAGTTAGGTAGAGAATGGAGATTGATAGCATAGTTATAATAGGGAAATTGTGCATGCATAACAAAGTACATATTTTTAACTGATATAATTTATACTTATAAAATAAATCTTTCTTCCTTGATTTTTTCAGCGTTATTACGGAGACACTCTTCCCTTTGGTCCCCAAGATACCTTCACTCCAGCCAACATGGCTTACCTATCTGTGGGACAAGCAATGGCTGATTTCTCAAGACTGGTGCAAGACATAAGAGACAAGATGAACATAAAGAAAGTCATAGTAATAGGAGGAAGGTACAGCCTACTATTAAACTAGACAAATGTAAAACATTAAGGAGGAAAAATACACAGATTTAAAAATAGATTAAACATTAATTAAATATTAGATGAACTATATCTAGATATAGTGGATCTTGATACAATAGATCTTGATGTAAAATACTCATACATTATTGTGCAAAGCAGCTCAAAACTTGGAAGGGACTTTCATACATCACATCAAGA